AGCTAGTCACTCCTTCACAGAAGGTGATCAGGTTAGTCAAGCAGGATTTCCCCTTGGTGAATCCATGCTGGCTACTCCTGAGCACCTTCTTCTCCTCCATGTGTCTGGAGAGAGCAGCCAGGATGAGCTGCTCCATCACTTTTTTTTTTAAAGAGGTATTTTACACAGTAGATGTAGTTTTATCTCAAAGTACTGAATCCTTCATCATCCTTAAGTTCCGGAAGTCTCATCTCCAGATCCTTGCCTGCTGTCTAACAAATCTACCAGTGAACACAGGCACTGCTTTAGCAATACAAAGGAAACCCTGGCACATACAGAAATGTAACTGTGATTTTATGTGCTAGTGGCAATGCAGAATCTATTATTATAGATTTTTATGACATTATAGATGATTATTACAATTTAGCACTGTAATTTTTTATCAGTTGTACCTCATCCTTGGCATCTGCTGCAGAAGTCAACTTGAGCACAGCTTGGCATTTCTCCTGGAAACAGCCTGCAAGGAAGTCAGCGTGTYTCAAGAACACCATCGTTTCTTCATTGGTAACAGGGCTCTTCTCACTTATTTTCGCCATTATCAGGTCTAACAAAGTAACTCTAGAATCGGAAAACAATTTGTTAGCCAAATTCACTAAGTTAACAGGAGAATAGGCAGATATGGTTGTTTAAAAATGATACCAACAATTAGCATTTTTTTTTTTAATAAAAATGATCAATTCCTGTTCACCACATATGGTGAACCATTCAAATTCAATTCACCTTTTAATTAATGCAATCAAGTCAGTGAAACACCTATTTTTCTCAAACCCATTTCCACGTTTAAATTCTTATGTCCTGATGYAAAATTACAGTGACTGCCTATGTTTGTAACTAAAATTTCCACTGAAGCAGCTTTTAAAAGCTAAGTTCAACAAAACAGAAAATTTGACAGCTTCCACTTGAAAATTTTCATCTTTTCCCACTCCTTGCCTTGCATGCAGGCCTTTACTAACTCTCCTTTCCAACTCAAAATAATGCTGAGAAGAAACAAAAGAAAGTAAATGCCTACACTTAGTTCTACGCAGCTGTTTATATAAAACTGCTACTAGATGGAGTAGGATGAATCCAAGTYAACTATCCATATACCCACTAGGAGTTATTCAGTGCATTAAGTCAGCCAGTAAGTGAAAACATAACGAAGTTGCTCTATAAAAAGCCTCGGAGATATTTATTTTAACAGTTTTAATGTTGTTCACATTTTGATATCCGTATCATGTTCTGGTACCCTATCCTTGCTCATCCACAACCTACCACAGAAGACTACGCAGTGTCCCAGGTATGAAGGGCTTGAGTTTTGGCAWTTACACTAAAATCAGGTGGAATGCACCGATGTGTCATTCCTCCCCATGGTGGAAGATCTTACTGAGTTTAAAGCTTTTCAGGTATATCCTTGGCTAAGAAAACAGGCTGCTCACAGATTTTATGATTAGAGCCATTTATTCCAAAACAGTATCATCTCCTCCACTTACAGGAATTTCATTGGTGGTTCCTGAGCTAATAATCCAAATACACTTTCTAAAAAGACATGCAACCCTTCTGTAAAGAAGCTGGAGAGTGACCACATACTCAGATAGGCTCTTTTAAAGAAAATTATTGCCAATAATGAAGAGCTTCCTAACCTCATCCTTTTTGCATTACTCATCCTTTAGCAATATAATCATACCTTAGATAATCATAATCCTTCTGAAGAAATTGGAGTAACCTGAAAACCCCAACTGCATGCGATCTCTTCAAAGGTGGCTGTTCTTTTTAAGCATTCACATGCCAAGACTGTTTTTGAGCTTTCTTCAGGCACGGTCACTCAGTACATGCCCACCCTTCCTTTGAATTTCAAGCACGTCTTGCACTTGGGCAAGACTTTGCTGGGAGCAATGCTTTTTGTTCTGTGCAGATTCCCTTCCTTTCCTCTGTTTTTCTYGCAGTCTTCTTCCAAGACTTCCTAAGCCTTTCCCAGTGAGTTTGCTCAAATACGTCATTTGCAGATGTCTTTTAGATTATCTCACCACAGTTCTTCAGACAGCCAAACATGACAAGTATTTCTGCCAGTTTCAGCATGTCTTGTCATGAATTTTCGTAACACTCAGTTCAATATATGATAATTTTCTATGTTGGAGGATTGAGTTTCTTTTCTAGCCATTTATTTGCTTCACCATAATGGTATTCTAAGAGGGTTAAACAAAGTTTGTCCATTGTCTCTCATCTAGGTAGAGACAAAAAAGTTGCCTTGCAACTTTTCTCTTTACCTCTTCTCTTTCTCTTTCTTTTTTCTTTTTGCAAAAGTTCTCTTTACCAGAAGCTGCTATGTGAAGGCTGATTCACAAGAGGGCCCTGCTGTTTTTGGTAGCAAATTGAAGGTACTTTTCCTTCCTACTTCCTGACYCTCCCATTGGCATATATACCTGCTGACACGGAGTTCATGCAAAGGAAATAACTTTGCTTGCCTGCCAAGTTTGGCCTACATTCAGCGTAGCTCCATACCAACAAACCTCTGATTACAATGGCTGTCTTCTTCTTTTCTCACCATGCACTGATCTATGGTAGAGCCGCAAGAAATCCCCCGATTTTCATTACTTCAGCATATGCCATTTGAAAGAAGGGTTCATAGATACAAGCGACATGCCCCAAGTTGAGTTTCTTACTCCACTGGTCTTCCACCTCTAAATCCTCATTCCCACTAGGTTGTGTCCTAACCTCTTCCAGTTGGGAGACTCACAGATCTGCTGTGTTTTCATTACCTGGTCTTCTCAGATTCACACAGAGGTTTTGTGCCCGCTTTCTCTGTGACTCTGCTACCACCTCTCAGAGTAAGCAAGAAAATCTTTTAGTCTTTCTATAAGAGCAGTTTTTACAACTGTCTGCAGGTACCAACTGGCTGGTTTCTTACTCAAATACTCTGGTTTCTTGAAACCAATGTTTCATAAGAATTTACCTACCGCTAGGGAGAGCAAGGGCGCTCTCCATATGGAACACCATTTCCATATAGCTTCACCACACAGCCAGACAAAAGCCAGCTGGATACTTTTTCCCTCAAAAAAGAGGATCAAACATCAGCAACAGTTGATTTCTGGTGAAGATGCTAGTAAACCTTTTGCTCTGTTCGAAAAATGATCACACCAGTAAGTGGCATCTTCTTACATCCAAATTCAATCCACGTGCTCCTGAACCTGACATRAAATTGTGAATTTACCTGAATTCACCTGAAATTGTGAAAAACTTTGAACTACTGCTAAGTATTTGCAACCGGTTGCTGCCGCACAGAGTTTGCAAATGAAGTTCACTGTTAAAGCACAATTTAAATCTACAGGCTTGTTATTTCAGATTAAAATAAATTTCTACTAAGCTTGTCTAAAACAGTAAGAAGGAAAAAAAAAAAAGAACCAATATGCCATCTCCAAACAATTTTTGCATCAAATGCTTGAAAAGATCACTAGCAATAATGTTTTTATGAGACAAATTAAGCCCTCTCTCAATTTTACAATTCAACTGTCTTGAAACTATGCTTGAAAGCATCCCATTAAAATTATAACTGACTCAAAATTGTTAAAATTCATGGGGAAATACGAGCCAGTTCTTCTTCAACTCTTTTGKCTTTGTAAGCATTACCAAGAACACAAACCAGTAGGTAAACGTAGGCAAGAAGAGGTGCCAGCTACACTGTGTGAGTGCCCATTTCACTGCTGGTGACTGTATGAAAGGCTGCATCATTCACTGAGAATATTTCACATGAAATCATCAAATCTGTAAATTTTAAAGATGAATTGAGCATCCAAAAAAGAATCTCAAGCATCTCAATTCTGTAAATTTGTTATTTATGAAGGCAAGAATAGTCATTTTCAGAAAGGCCAACACAGATGTACACATTCTGAAGATTTTACAATGCAATTAGACTATCAAAGCATTCACTTTATGCTGTCCATGCTCCTGGCTAACATTGATTAAAACGAGTCTTTTCTAAATCCTTTTGCATATGAATTTCTAAATACTTATGCACATGTGCACATCTCAAATCTGGCAAAGAATTCAAGTACCTTCACAATCTTTTGGCTCAATACCCTAGCCATAGGTTTCTGCATTAATCACCTGCAGAGAAATGGCAAGCATTATCTCATTGTCATTTGCCTTTCAGACCCAGAATTGCATKAGAAAAATTGATCATATTTTCACAGTACTTATTTCAGGCCACCTGCAAACTCAGACATGCAAAAGGAAGTCATTTAAGTTTGGCTGGAAAATGAAAACACAATTGTCCAGAAGTGAGCAGTTTGTCTTTTAACTGAAAGTTTATGTACCAGATTCACTGCTGCAACAAGAAGGGCTACTCTTTGGCACCCACCATGGCCACAATATCACAAATACACTAGATTTCCATTACAGGAAATAGTTTAAATAGTGCAAATCCTGGAAATAGTGCAAATACTGCGGTTACTGCATAGACTTTGGTTATCTATGGCAACTGCCAGCTTTTTTTTAAAAAAGTACCACCACGAATGTACATATTAGCAAACTTTCTTAGGATAGTTCATTACTTCTCAGTAAACAGAATGAAAATAAACGTGTTTAGCGTGCACAATACAGAACACTGTAGCAGTTACCATTTAATCATGAGCTTGGGCTGCCTCGTCCAGACACCTCAACACCACATCTGACACACGAGTGACAGAGGGAGCCCGTCGGCACCCAGCAGTGAAGCTCCTTGTCTCATTTTCAAACAATGAATTCCYTTTTCTGCTTTTAGTTTACACAGTCACTTCCCACCCGCCCCCACTTAATGACAGTCAAAATGTTTTTATCTAAATTAGATTTGGCTTCTCATGCACGTCAAAGGAATAAATTCGTAAATATGCTAAAAATTTATATACAGGATGCTGCCGCTGGGTTTTCTTCTGCAGCTCAGAGGCAAAAGGGGTTATTTCTGCAACATGTACTTCAGTCTTTCAGTATGTTTGATAGTAAATGAAGCAGCAGCAAATTCATAAACTGCACTGTGAGCTTTACTTGCGTTGTAAAATTTTTGTGACTGATAATAAATTTGGTGTCTACCCTGTGGCTGGCCATCTAGTATGAGCATCCACACACCTACACAACAACTTCCTTCAGCCAAGGTAGCATAATAACTTAAGAAACATGGTACAAGCAAGCAATTCCATCTGAGATCTTTTTAGAAGCTGCTTAGCTATATAAAAGTTCCCATTGCTCTAAGAAGAAAATAGCAAAATGAAAACAGCCAGGGCTGTCCTCAAGGTGAACTGGGGTGAACGGGGCAAAATCATGACATTGTGGGAAACTAACGAACAAAWACCTTAGCTCTTTCTCTTGAACTCTGTGGTTAAGGAAACCCTCCCTACTTCTACGAACAGTAGCACATGGCTCATGCTCACTCCCATTTGGTCAGCGTGAATACTCTTATTCCTGGGTTGACACCCCATACTTACATATTGACTATATTTTATCTACCCATTTTAAACCTACCATATTCCTTCTTTACCTGCCGTTCCTTTCCTTTCTTTACAATCCCTGATCAGGATCTGAACCACTTTTTCTAATTACTATGTGGCTTTAGCGCCACCAAAAGAAGTGGAACTACAGCAAAAACTGTAGACTGGAATTTGCATCTTCCCTGCAGGAGTGGGAAATAGAGTAGCCATTTTGAAAAAAATATATGATCATGGAATACGTGGAATTAAAGTACAAAATTTCCAAGTATTTGTTTTTCTAACAACATAAATTTTATCTTTCCTCATTCTTTATTAAACCAATTGTCAATGAGTTATTTTTCCTATTACAGGATTGGCCATTTTCCATCAATCCAGCACTCATTTATTCAGACGTCTGAATGAAAGCTAATTACTCTCTTTCTAGGATGAAGGTTTCTTATAACTTCTTTTTTTTTTTTTTAAAAAAAATGGAAATACTAAAAGATTAAATAGCCATAGCCATCTTCACATCTATGTTTTTCACCTTCTGCTAACCAATACTAGGCAGACATGCAGCTTGAGTAATGCTCATATTAGTCTTCCTTATAATTTCTTGTAATTACAACAGGGATATCAGCAGCTGAGTACATTTCAAATACAGCTGTAAAACACTGCAGGGTGTGGTGCTCTTATGAAATCAAGGCACAGGGCACGGGCATGAAGTCCTGACTTTTTTTTTTTTTTTTTTTTAAAGTATTTCTTTACTGAGCAATGGCGCCAACCTGGATTCTGCAACCCTACATAAATCACTGCCAGTTGTGGCTAAGCTGTAATGTTAACCAACCAATTTAAAACCATTACTGACATAGAAACATGTATTTAGAGATTTTGTGCCAACTACGAAACCACACAGTTTTTCAATCATGTGAACAGGATACTCTATATGGAATGCTAAATACTGAAAGCCACATTGGTTTTTGGGGTTACCTTTCTTGATTGCTCAGTTTGGCATAGAGGGCTTTTACCAACTCTGGACATTTCAGCAAATGGTCTGTAACAATCAAGAACCTGAAGAAAAAAAAAAAAAAAGAGAGAGAAAAATGAATTAATGGTTCTATAAAGAAACCGTCATTTACATTTAGCCTACCAGCTGAGCAGGTGCTGGTTATTTCTACTGTGTGTAATGTGCATCTAGTCCTATTTGCTAAGGGATACAAATCATCACAAACTAATTATGCACGGGTTATTTTCCCTATTTCAGCAATGGGCATTTCCCATCAAGACAGTACACTTTAACTAGCTTTCCTCCATTCAATTGAGTGGAAGTTTTTCGCTAGTTACAGAAAAGACACACCACCATTCAAATAACAAATAGTCAGTCCAAGCCTTCATACACCTTAACAAAAAGTCAAAATACACACTTGGAAAGACATGATATCCATCAGAAGATTGTATTTATGATATTGTTTTATAAACCACCAGATAATCAAAGGAAGTATTCAAATAACTTTTCCTTAAAAAAAAAAAACTAACAAAACATCAGAGCTTTGTCTGAAGCAAAGCAGCAAAATAGTCCTGAGTTACCAAAAATACCCCTCCTGCATAASAAGTTTCTCAACCAATGTCAGTCTAACCAAAGACCTTCAAGACAGCAGCTCCCAGTATGATCTCCTCTTGTGCTAACACCAACATCCACATTAATAATCACCTTCATGWGCATCACTCATAAGAATCAATAGGAAATGTTAATCTCATTTCAATCTAGCTGAATAATCTAGGCATTATAAAAACAAGAACACTAACAAACAAACAACATCCTCACTCTAAACAGGGTATTTTTTTTTCTTCAAATTACACTTCTAGAAGCACCAACAGTGTTATATACAACATAGGTAAACACATGCTTAGTGATGCATTTTCAATCAGTAAGTACATTCAGTGAATGTAAAATCACTAGGGTTCAAACTCAAAATTACCAAGAACAGAAACAGTTTAAAGGAATTTTAATATTCCCTCTACCACTTTCCTTTTGCTTTGCTGATAGAACTTTATTTTGCACACCCATAGCCTACTACATATCCAGCGGGAAGATGACACAGAATTCTTCCATCTGTTACAAAATATTTTGGGGGTATACAGTCATTAATAATTGAGGAGACCAAAACACAAGACAGTCAACAGATTAATGGCTATTATGTTTCTAATGTAAACTGTGGACTTAGCATCTGGCTAACTTACTGCAGAGCAGACATTTTTAAGGGGGGGAAAAAATGTACGTTCAAGGAAAAATAGGATAGTCATAGGCAATCATCAACTTAAAAAGTGATATTCTAATCAGCAGAGTTGATTCACAAGTTTCTCAACAGTGATTTTAACCTACAGGCTTCCCTAAGTCAACSCCACAGCTATGTTCCAATGCCAAACAGTGCAGCCTGACACAACGGAATTCCATCAAGCCACCTACATGGCAATCGTGGGAATGCTTCCACTATTCCCAAGCCAACAATTTATGGCATAAGAGCCTGACAGCTAAATCATCAGAATGATGACAACAACTGATTTTTTTTTTAAAGGATTTGAGCAGAAGCAAGTGCCACCTAGAGCTGCAGGAAAAGAAAGCCTAACAACTCCTGCGTACAAAACGCAGTAAGATTTAGTCTCACAACATATACATTTCTACTGCCAAAGTAGTACAGTAAAATTACATTTAAAGCAAAAAAAGAGTGTAGTCAGATTTTTCCATTTTGCAGTTGAAAAAAATAAATTTTATATTAATTTTTGTAATTAATATTATTGTGGGGTATTTTCTTGACTTTTTGCCTTACAGTTAAGAAAATTAYATAATGTTGCTACTTGCATACAGAAGATTACTCTGGCACTGCAAAATAACTGTGTTGAGTCAACAYGGGTCTAGGTTCTTGTATATATTCATAATAATATATTCATAATACATATTCAGACCTATCTTTATAGATTAGTACTGTACTGACTGAGGAGCCTGGAATATTTCAGAGTAGTGTTTGTGCCCATAAAGCAGCATGTACTTTTGTTTATTGTTTTAATCTCGAGATATGATGCAACCCACCAGAGCCTCCTACATCTGTATTTAAGTTTCACGCTTTCCTTATCTTCTTCCTTCTGTGTTACATCATAGAGTACTAACACATTTTAAAAGCATCTCCAAGAGATGTCAACAGAAGAGAAATGGAGTGGATTAAACACTTTACTCCAGCTAAAAGTTGGAGTAAACTTTTCCTRTTACTGCAGTAGGAAAGCAAGGGTGAGACAAATTAAAACTAGAATYGTCAGTCCTTAGCTCTCCTGTTTTTCATTTGGGATGGGGGGGGGAATAAGAGGAAAAGTAAGACCATCCACAAATTTGAAATAAAGAAAAAACAAAAAAAGACATTTGGTTTTGGATTACTGACTGAATATGGCATTTCAGATACACACAAAAGACTTTGGTAAAAGATTTAAGCTCTGTTTGGAGGCCAAGAGCAGAACCACTGGGATAAACTGAGGACCACTGTAATTTAGTGAAGGAAATGGTGAAAATTAAAGTTGTTATGTAAGCATAATACAGTAACAAATGAATAGTGTTAAATATGCCAATTTTCTTGACTTTTAAAAAATTGTCTGGCTAAAATCCTAAAAAAATCAAGTGCTTACATAGCAGATAAATACAGGAGGAGATGTTCAGTTCAAAGACTCTACAATAGCACAAGGGATACATTGTACCAAAGGGAACTTGAGAAGCAGCCAAGATGAAACGGTATAAGCTACAGTTACGCTCAGTATACTCCAAAATGACCACTAAGCTTGTTCCAATCAAAGCTGGGTGTAAGCAATCAACTTTATTGTAAGATGTCATGCCCCAGATTAACTTGATTCCATTCTATTAGCAGCTTTAGAGATGAGCGTCTTTGGTCTCTGAAAACAAGGGTAAAAATAAAATGTTTCAGTAGAGAAAAGAAAATAAGATGGGGATTCTGTGTTTAATTAGTGATTTTTTGTTCTGATGTGAGAACAGAAAATCTAGTCCACCAYACAACATACTAGAGTGTGGTTTGAACAAGAACATTTGTAAGAATGACACAGCAATTTTTACTGTAGTTTATCACATTGTTCTTGAATATAACATTCTAGCATGACAGGCCATCCAAATTATGAAAAAAAGAAGAAAATTCAGGCACTAAACCTTTCATAGCTACATGTCCCATTCTTTTAGATGCTATAAAAGCAATGTGCCTCACAAGACACTGGGCAGAACATGCTTTAAGAGCAAAATAGTTTGTTGGCCTTGCACAAGAATAAAAGCACCATTTACAAATCCACTTACARGAACAAAGACATTTGAATTTGAAGTGAAATATATGTGCTCTCAGAAAGACCTCTAGAAACCAGACTGCATTTTTTGCTCCAAATAAATATAAGGTCCATATTTAAGGTTCAACACCAACGATGAGGCACCACGCTGCTTTCATCTTGAGATGAACACAGCACAGGGGAACATCCTTCCTCTTCTTCAAAAGGGATTGTGCACGATGAATGCGAGACTCTGATCAGAATATCTGGAATGCTTCTCTGACTCAGGAAATACTCCTGTTAAATTTGATCACTACATCAGAAATGTCCTGGAAATGGATTTTTCCTTGCATGAAAAACCCAGTGCCACTGTTTTTCTCAAGAGCTTCCATGCAAAAATCTCCTAACAACAGGACGGCTACTTCCCCTCATTCCCCTCTCCATAAATGATACAATGGATCACTGAAAAGTCAAATGTGCAAAACTGGGACTTAAAAGACTGGAGAAATCTGTGCCAATATGTTGCTACTGCAAAYAGAAAGTAGAAACGACTCGGATCACTCCATTAAGGAAACTTTTCCAATTGACRGTACTATTTAAAACCACAGTTGAACTTGGAACTTGCAACGTAACGCCAACTTTCCTGGAATTAAAAATAAAAATTACTTTCTGGAGAGTAGCAGAGGAGGTGGGGAAGGACATCCTAAACTGTCAGAAAGGAGAGTCAAAAGTTGCCAACCCCAAATAAAAAAGGTAACATTTTCTGGTTTCTGCACCAAATGAATGCCAATTAAGTACCAGGCACTCTACTGAAAAGTTCCATCTTCCCCTTTAAATCCATGCCCGTCGGCAAGACTGCTTGCCACAGGAGCACTAGTTTCTGTCCACACTTCTTTCCATAAGCCCGGACAAAATAACCAAGGGCAAAAAATGGGGAGGGGGAACCCCACATCCTAATCTTTACAGTCATCATTGCGCTGTGGTTTCAAGAAGAGAAAGTCAATGCTCTGAAATCCTTACTTCCAGTGCCAAACAGCTGACCACACTCTTAATATCATTTTTTTCCAGGGGCCAAAAGGAGTACTATGCCTCTTATTTTAAAATGGAGGATTTTTGTTCCTYGCTCTTCAGGAATCAAAAATGCAACCTGTTTTTCTTTTCTTAGTACATACTCTGCATACAGCAGTTACCATGCACACACTTGGAAAAACTGATGACACAAGCTATACTCTCTCATCTCTAATGGAACCACCAAAGTATTTCTAAAATAAACAGCTTTTAGAATGCACATTGGTCTTGGTTAGGATAAATTATAATGTAATTTTGTACTACTTTTTCCTAATTATTTTACAAAACACATATGTTTGCAGGTTCAATATTCTAAAATAGATCTTATGTGGCATTCAGCATTGGTTTCTTCTAAATGCAGCAGCCTCTAAGCTGTGTGACACACTTTTCTGCTGTTGATTAATACAAACCCAGACCAGAGTAGATGTGGACCAGAGTAGACACACAGAGGAAAGACTCTTTTAAAGGCTCCGTAATTTTCCAGAGCCTAAGGCAGAGCTGCCTGCCTGTTTTAAAAGGTTTTTCCAGGAGAAAAGGCAGCACTGGCGAGTTTTTTTCCAAGTATTTCACAGATGGCACTGGATACCACTTGTGCTTTCTTCTTCCCTTGGAAGCGCAGCAAGGAGGTTTGTTACAGTGGACACTCCAGATCTTGTCTGTAATCACGCGATGGAGAGGGAAATGCACTTTATTTA